AAAGCCTTGATGCTTCCCGGAGTGCGCGGCCGTTCCGTTGTGCTATACTTTATCTTTATTGATGTTTTTATATTTATTACTGTGAGATCATTGGTATTTGCGAGGTTATGTTTAGTTTTGCTTTTAATCAACTCATACTATCTAAGCAGGTGATTTTTTGTATTTATATCGTACTTCTAACGTGCCAAGACGTTGGTACGACTATACTCTTTCCTGTCCCTAAATTTTTAGATGTTGTTGTATATTTTCGGCTACATATATTGGTACTGCTATGGTGTTAACATCGTAGAGTCAATGCGGCTTCTGTGGAATTTGAACTCACAATCCGCCTGTTGATTACATATCTACTGTGCATGGCACATAAATAAATGCGTAATAAGATATACTCTGTATTATAATATTTTTCTCAAGAGGACATTTCAGAATGAGCAGTTTCCGGTTGTAATTCTGAATGAGTACATTTTATAATATATTAATAAATATATATGTATATAGTAAATATTTTATTTCTGAATCAAATATTATTTCGATTTTATATGTGTACATTATGAAGATGTTGTTGAATAATAACAAGGCTTTTTACAGTTTGTATTTCGCGAATTTTTTTATGATTATAAAAATATTATTGAATATTGTAGCCCTAAAACATGTTGGTTATTGGGGCTGTTATAAAAAGAGATAACAGAAAAGAAAATATTTTCTTTTTATTATCGTTGTTTTATTTGTATTTTAATTTTTTTTTTGTTTTTTTTTTTTTTTATAGCCATAATAAATTCACTTCACTTGAGATTACAATATTTTTTTTTTTGGTTTGGTTTTTTGTTGTTATAAAAAATCTATTTGCAAAAAATTGAAGGCTATTTTGTGTACTATTGTAATTGTATGAGTAGCGTTAAAAATTTATATATAGACATACATTTATACACATTATTAGGTACACGAAATTTTTTATTTTTCTTAATTTTTTACTTTTATTTTTAATACTCGTAGATTTTTCTTTTTGTTTAACAAGAAATTTCTCTTCAATCTTTGACACCATTAATTTTTTTTTATTTATTTTCATATTTTCTATTTTATGCGAAAAAAGGAAAAGAAAAGAGAGAAAACATTTTCGTGCTTTAAGTATATTTTAAGGGATAAAAATAAAAAATGGCGATTATTATATAAGATTAGAAATCATACGGAAAATATTTTTAAATGTTTAATAACGGGGAAAACTTGTTTAAGGAAGTGAAAATTTTATATTTACATACCTATACCATTTAAATAATATGTTTAAACGCATCTTATACTAGTATGTACAATTTATTTTTGTATAACAGGAAAGTGTTTTAATGCTAAGCGGATGTAGTATTTAATAAAATCTCTTGAAAATGTAAGCGCGTGGTTATTTAACCAAATTTAAGATTAAAAATGTTAAAAACTATAACGAATATGCAATAAAAAAAGTTTAAGATAAATTTTTCATATAGAAGTTTATTGAATTCTTTGTTATTTTAATATCTACAATTTTCTTTTAAGCTCTCGATTGAATATTTACAGTAATATTTATAAAAATTAGAACACCTAAAAGTTCAAGAATAAAAGTCCTCTAACAGATGATAAGACGTTATCTTTATTCTAGAGTAATGTCAGGTAACGTTATACTTTTATGCAAATATAAAAGTAGGGCAAATGCATCGTATTAAGTTTGTGTTAATTTAAAAGTTACAAAGTTAATATAAAGTAGCGGAATTCGCAATAGCTAGACGGCTGAGCGGCAATATTTATGGGTAGTAGGGCTGTGATAGTGGTCCTCGCGTCCTACTCAGTTGTTGTCGGCTTTGCACTTCGTTAGGTGTGCAGGGTGACTATGTGTTGAGTTTCCGGTCAGAGTGGGGTGTGGGGTAAAGAGATGCCGGATGGTCTTCCTAGGGCTGGGTCGGGCAGAGGTGTTGACCTTGTGGATTGGTTGGTGAGTCTACCGCTAGGAGCGTTCCTTGGCATCATAGATGGTCAGACTAGAAGGAGCAGTGGGGTCTTATGGTCGGAGGCTCATACGTGCAAGGTGACTAAAGCAATGTGAGCTAAGAGAGACAAAAAGAGGACGAGGATGCTGTTGACGTATAGCAGGACTGGTCTCAGCATACTTTTGGGGATACTGACAGGACATCGCCTCTTAAGGAAAAAACCCGGGAGGAGTGTGGTCGCCACGACGGATATATGTCGTGGATGTCAAGATGTGGCGGAAGTGGAGGATGTGGAGCATGTTCTTTGTGCCTGTCCATCTTTGCTGTGGAAGAGAAAGCGTGTCTTGGGAGCTTTCTTTTATGATGGCCTGGGGATCTGTCCAAGAGAGTTCCTCGCGCGGATTTTGGGATTTGCTAGGGAGCTTGGTTGGTTCGGATAGATAGTAGATTGAAATTGGATTGCTTGGGGATGTTGTTTTTGGGGGTTGCTGATGGGCTTTTCTTTTGGCCTTTTGGCTTTTGTTCACGTGAATGTCCGGGTGGGGCCCCTCTCTCTTATCACTCAACAAGAAATAGATTTATTATCTTAACAAGGTCTCCGCTACACCATGCTGTTGCAGATATTTCTGTTCCTCGTGCATCGAAGACTTTCCGTAAAAAGTGTAAGTAAAATGGGGTTAAGGAACACTTAAATTGCTCTAATGATAAGTTGGATAATGTTGTCTTCTTAAATGAATCAAAATTCAAGCTCAGAATGTGTAGCAATTTAAGTTTGCCGCGAATATTGTTACACGATTAGGAATATAAAGAGCAGACATTGCAGAAGAAATGTGATGTATCAGGTCTTTTGAGGGAAAATGTCTATATTTAATATTCGGAAAAAATTCACAAGTATTGTAAAAATATATTTCACTATTTTTAATTAAAAGCATTCCATAAATAAACTTCGTAAAAGTTTTAATTCATTTCAAATATCTGATGAAATTGGTCTTGTCCAGCTTAATATTTTGCCTTACTTAATTAAGGCTGTCTTAAAATACACTCTTGATAGATTTGATTACATCCACGAATTGTATAATTGAATTTTATAAAATATTTGAAATATGCAAAATTATATTTAATTTAAATATGTCTGTACAATATATGTACATAATATATGGTATGAATTTATCAGAAATGCAAAAAGCAATTTTTTTAAACACAGAGCAAGAAAATTTCACCAAAAATTTTACAATTCGATAAATTCACTCTTCAAATTAATAAAATTTCTTTTTACACTTCGATAATTTTATTTCATGGTTAAAATTTTCAGCATCGACCTTTATGAAAATTACCAATTGATTGCAATGGTAAAATGGTACATACAATGTATACATATGTGTGCGTATATTTTATACTGAAATATTTTATGAATGTGCCTAGGTATTTTAATATTCAATTTAGGTAGTGAAACTCATTAAAAAAAAAATTATTTAGGTGCAATGACCTTCATTTTTAAAAATAATTTTAACCGATTTGATTTTTTTTTCTTTTAATTTTTTGTTAGGAAGTACAGCAATAAAATGTTAAAGGAATTTTTTTTTCTGTTTTTAATGCCATGCCAATACATAAATGATTCCATTTTAACATTTTCCACTTTAATAAATTTTTCTTTTTAGCTGTTTTTCCAGCAGTTTTCATAATTGAAATTTTATAAAATTTTTTTCATACAATATTTGTGGTTTTAGTTTTAAGAAACCTTATGCTTATTTTATTATTTTTTTTTGTAATTACGATGAATGAAAAATAATTTTTCAAAAGAAAGTTTTGGATGATTACATTTTAATTATTTAGACACAAAGTTAATGGAAATTTACATTTAAAAAAAAATCCGAACGCAAGTAATAATTTTTTGATACAATTTTCTTCAGGAGAATCCCTAACATTATCATAATTTCATGGGAAATGCTTTGTGCACACAGTAAATATTCAAGCATTTTAAATATGCAATAAGGCACGATATAAAATAATTTTAATGTAATTTCTTGTTTTCATCGAAATATGTAAAAATTTTGAATAGTTTTGATTTAGAAATTGAAGTTGATTCAATTTAATGGGAAAGTGAAAAAAATTACAAAGAATTTTTAATTTTAATTTAGAATTTAATATGGACGAACGGATATACGAATTTATAGGTGGAGGAACGGGGTGCGGTCAAAAAGAACTTCATAATTGAATGTACCGATGGATCTGTTATTTAAAAATAAAATTGTAAAGCAAATTTAAAAATATTTCATTAAAAATTTACATTGCTCCCTAAATGTATGCAATTTTATGCAATTCATAAGTAGTTCATTTTATGGACCTAGTTATATAGCCCATTTTTAAGAGATTTCATTTCTAAAAATTATTTAAAATTGAATAATTTTCTAAAATTTATTAATTTTTTTAATTCGCCTACATCATACAATCGTCATTTTATTTAACCCTTAAGAAGGAAATAAAATTTAATATTCTCGTTTTAATACGATCGAATTCTTAGGAATTTTTCAAGTACATATTAACATTAATATACATACACACTTTATGAAAATAAATATAGTATATATGCCAATAAATACACGACATGTATAACATAATGTGTACATAATTCCTTGATATTGTTACGGTTATTCAAATATTATAAAAGTACATACATTTTGAAAATTAATTTACCTTGGCAGCGACTTATACGCGCATATATACCTTAATACATAAGTACTAATTTCGTGTTATATAATAAACGTGTATATAAAATGAATGTGTAATATTAATTCATGACGTTCGAGTATAATATCAATAAAAAATTTTACATTATTAAGCATATTTTAACCATTTTAACGTACAATTACCACTTACTTGTGAAAAGAAAAATAAAAACTAAGGGAGAAATTTTTATATTTTATAACTTAAATGTGTATGTGCACTATTTCTATATGTAGACGCTGTGTAATAAGTATGTATATATATATAACAAAGTATAAATTTAGATTATAGTAAATTTTGTTAAGCCTAAATGTATATATAGCTTACCTTGCATACATTAAATATACTCTTGATTGTGATTGTTTCATTTCAAATAAATGTTCTGTAAAAGTTTCCAATTTTGGTTCAAATTCAACTATTAAATCGACTGTGGCACGCACTTCGATATCATCATAGTTTGTTTGTGAAGCTGTCTGAAATCTACCTAAAATTGCTCTGCCATCTGTGTCAGAACTGTGAATGATGATTACCTACAAAAAAAAAAACAAAATAAAGAAAGAGAAAAAGGATAAGTAAGAAAGAAATGGCAACAATACACAAGTTTCTTTTAAATTTGATTGCTTTTTTTTCTTATATTTTTGTTTTTATTTTGAAAGCATTAAGGATATATGACAAGTCATAAGGAAATTGAAATAAAGAAACAAAACAAAATACAATGAAGAATAAAGAGAAAAAAAAATATTGTGACAATTGAGGTACCCAAAGTACTATAGAAAAGATAATAACCCTCGTGTTTTAAGATTATAGTGTAGAAATTGTGAGACGAAACTGTTATATAAAAAGTAGAAAACAAATAAAAAATTGCAATATTAAACAGGTGGTTTACAGGTTTTCCCTTTTTTTTTTTTGAGGCGATGAGAAATCATGAATTTTTTAAAGAATTTTATAAGATTTTTTCGTTCATGTTCGTATAACTATATGTATAAGCACAAACGTACATACATATGTATTACGCTATATTACTCGTCAAATAAAAGAACAATTTAGTATAGTTTAGTTTAAAACGAGAAAAAAAATAGAGTTGACCTTGTCAACTCTGTGATACCCGTACGAATTTGTTATCCTAGGCGCGAATAACTAATGTGCCATAACTAACTATGGGGCAGACTATGACTTTAAGTTGCCGTATTACCATATTAATTTATGCAAAATTTCAGTACTATGTGTTATTCAAAATACTGGTTGTGCCAAACTACTATTGATGTTGTATGGCACCTACCAGAAAGAGCCAAGAAATTTTAGCAAATTTTATCAAGCACATCGGCCCTACTAATATATTCACTTGTGTGAAATCTCAATATCACAGCTTTTATAGTTTCTGAGATATAGTCAAATAACTTTTGAAGTTGTATGGCAGGTACCAGAAGGAGCCAAGTAATTTCAACGACTTTTATGAGACACATTGGCCCTACTAATATATTCGTTTGTGTGAAATTTCAATACCATAGCTTTAATAGTTTCTGAAATATAGTCAAATAACTTTTGAAGTTGTATGGCAGGTACCAGAAGGAGCCAAGTAATTTCAACGACTTTTATGAGACACATTGGCCCTACTAATATATTCGTTTGTGTGAAATTTCAATACCATAGCTTTAATAGTTTCTGAAATATAGTCAAATAACTTTTGAAGTTGTATGGCAGGTAGCAGAAGGAGCCAAGTAATTTCAGCTACTTTTATGTGACACATTGGCCCTATTAATATATTCGTTTGTATGAAATTTCAATACCATAGCTTTAATAGTTTCTGAAATATAGCCAAATAATTTTTGAAGTTGTATGGCAGGTACCAGAAGGAGCCAAGTAATTTTAACGACTTTTATATGGCATATTGGCCCTACTAATATATTCGTTTGTGTGAAATTTCAATACCATAACTTTTATAGTTTCTGAGATATAGCCAAATAAATTTTGAAGTTGTATGGCAGCTACCCGAACCGGTACCCCGATCATGTCCAATTTAAATAGGGTTCTGGCACTTACTACAATAAATTATTTGCGAAAATTTGGTGAACTTAGCTCAATTAGTTTTTGAGTTATCGTTCGGACGGACGGACGGACAGACAAAGCTAAATCAACTCAGAATTTGACGCTGATCAAAAACATACACTTGAGTCTATATCTAACACCGTTATTTCTTAGCGTTACAAACGGTAAGGCAAATTTAGTATACCCTTCGAACATACGTTCGTACGGGTATAAAAAATATTTAGAGTGAATGTTGACGGCTTTATTTTAACCAGTAGAGTAGAGAACAGCATGAGTTCTTATACACTTACCTAAATGTAACGAGTTTTGATAGTGTATTGAACTTTGCTTTTTGTATTTTTTTATTCTAAATTCTATATTCATTAATAACATTTTAATTTCAGTTAGTCTAGATTTTTAATATATAAGTACATATTTCTTTATTACGAAGAATATAAAATGATGATTTCAAGCAAAAAATCACGAATTATTATAGAAATTGTTCTTTATACCCGTACGAACGTATGTTCGAAGGGTATACTAAATTTGCCTTACCGTTTGTAACGCTAAGAAATAACGGTATTAGATATAGACTCAAGTGTATGTTTTTGATCAGCGTCAAATTCTGAGTTGATTTAGCTTTGTCTGCCCGTCCGTCCGTCCGTCCGTCCGTCCGTCCGTCCGTCCGTCCGTCCGTCCGTCCGAACGATAACTCAAAAACTAATTGAGCTAAGTTCACCAAATTTTCACAAATGATTTATTGTAGTAAGTGCCAGAACCCTATTTAAATTGGACATGATCGGGGGTACCGGTTCGGGTAGCTGCCATACAACTTCAAAATTTATTTGGCTATATCTCAGAAACTTTAAAAGTTATGGTATTGAAATTTCACACAAACGAATATATTAGTAGGGCCAATGTGTCACATAAAAGTCGTTGAAATTACTTGGCTCCTTCTGGTACCTGCCATACAACTTCAAAAAATATTTGGCTATATCTCAGAAACTATAAAAGCTGTGATATTGAGATTTCACACAAGTGAATATATTAGTAGGGCCGATGTGTCTCGTAAAAGTCGTTGAAATTACTTGGCTCCTTCTGATACCTGCCATACAACTTCAAAAGTTATTTGACTATATTTGAGAAACTATTAAAGCTATGGTATTGAAATTTCACACAAACGAATATATTAGTAGGGCCAATGTGTCTCATAAAAGTCGCTGAAATTACTTGGCTCCTTCTGGTACCTGCCATACAACTTCAAAAGTTATTTGACTATATCTCAGAAACTATAAAAGCTGTGATATTGAGATTTCACACAAGTGAATATATTAGTAGGGCCGATGTGCTTGATAAATTCGCTAAAATTTCTTGGCTCTTTCTGGTAGCTGCTATACAACTTCAATAGTAGTCTGGCACAACCAGTATTTTCAAAAACACATAGTACTGAAATTTTGCATAAATTAATATGGTAATACGGCAACTTAAAGTCATAGTCTGCCCCATAGTTAGTTATGGCACATTAGTTATTCGCACATAGGATAACAAATTCGTACGGGTATCACAGAGTTGACAAGGTCAACTCTATTTTTTTTCTCGTTTTAATTAAACCGGTGTTTTAAATATGAAATTAGTAAGACGAAGTAGCTGACTGCATTGATTCAATTTATTTTGATTGTATGTTTCAAATATCTAATTTCCCAAATTAAAAAAATCTAATGTGTCCACTACATAACCGACCGCAGGGTGTATTGTTTTTCATCTTGTCTTGCGCATAACGTGGCTATTCTATGTAACAAACTGAACCCAAATAATGAATTTCAAGAAATTCCGTCAATTAGTTTCGTAGATATAGTGAAAAATGAAAAATCGGCCCTTTAGGAATGTCCGGGTTCCAAAATACGCTTTTGGAACCCGGATATTCCTAAAAAATTTATAAATTTTTCATTGTGTTAATTTAAATATTAAATATCAAGGAAATTTGTTGATTAATTCTGTTTATATGCGTGAAATAGCAAATTTGGCACGTAGCAAAAGTAATAGTGACTCCTTGGTTTCTTAAGAGTTTTTTCGTATGATAAAGCTAATGTATAAAACTTTAAGTTTACCTGCTGAACATTTACTTAAAAATGATCAAAAATATAAAATCGCCCCGTAAAACATGCCGGACATAACACAAAAGTTGATCATTCACATATAAATTACCATAAAAATTGGTTCAGCGGAACTTCATACACATGCGAACACAGACTGAGAGACCGTCATTTCGCTAAAACTAGTTTATTTACGCTTTCTTACCTTGAAGAAGTGAAATTGCACCGGAAGCTCGACATTCATAAATTGGAGCTATCACATATTATGTAATCTGGCTCATAAAAAACTTATTTTAAACAATGCGGTGTGTTTAAATTTACAGTTTAAATTTTATTCTGGAGCATCACATATTTAACGTGCTATAAAAAAATGTAAAAATTATAAATTGTTGGTGAACTTTTTTGCGTGGTGGTTCCTTTTGTGCGGAGGTTCATCACTATATATGGGTGAACAGATTGTCGCGCTGTATGGTGTAATTTAGTTGAGGAAGACCGGCTGAAAGGCTTTCATTTGTTTATTAAAATTTAGTAACCAACGTGCAATCACTTACCCTATTTAATTTCTAAACTCTCTATACAAAAGCAAAATATTACATAGGAGCATATTCTTTTTTTGTAAAATATTTCAAAAATTCCTTAACTCAAGAATTTTTTATAATATTTTTCAATATTTTACAATATTGAGAATTATAGTAGAGAAGTGGTTTTTTTTTAAGATTTTATAAAATATTGTAAGAATTTTCATGAAATAAAACAAAAATGTCGATGTAATTGAGTACGTACGATAATATGAAGTATGTATGTACATATAGACCAAGTTTTATTAATATCAATGAGAGTATATTAGCTATTAGTGCAAATCAGAGTTCCAGATTATTTTTAATATAAAAATATATGCTCTATTGCTTCTATAATTGCTCTGGTAATACATGAGTGCACAATATTACATGAACTTTTAACATTTTTAAGAAAAATTCTTTTAAAAATAAAACTTTAAATTAACATAATTATGGTTTCTCGTTTCTTATATAACTTTTGCAGTAATTTTTTGTTTTTTTCTATATTAAGATTAAAAGTATTTCTAAAAGTTTTATACATGCACACAATACACATGTAATTCAAAGTTTCTTATTTCAATAATATATTATGCAATTACATATACATATATATATATTATATATAATAAATATATTATATATAATGCCAGAATTTATTATATAAATTTATTTATTTATTTTTTTTCTATATTAATTTTCTTTTAACGAAAAGTTTAACAATGAATCTTAATATAGCAGAATATTAAGTGGAATGGAAATCGAAAAACTTGGATAAATTGTTTCACAAAAATTCTTTAATTATTCATTCTACTTATACTCGTATAATGTATAAAACCGTTCAATAAATTTGTATCT